CTTCTACTGGTCCTCCTCCTCCTCCCATAGAGGGTCCACAGCCTGTCCAGTCACAGTCACAGCTACAGCCTGCCTCCCCTTTGCCTGCTCCTTCTCCCTACACTGGTCCTACTGGAGGTTTTACTGAGCGTCATGAGCCTGCGTCTCGTCCTGCGTCGCCTGATCGTGCTGCGCGCGCTAGTGGTCGCGGTTCGCTTCAGCGTCCTCCTCCTGTCCCTGGCACGCACCGGATGTCTCTGCGTCCGTCCACTGCTCCTCTACGTGCCCCTTTGCCTTCTCCTCCTGCGTCCTCTCTTCCTGCTCTTGCCGACCCGGAGTCGGACTCTCTTCGTGCTCCTAGTCCTACTGTCACGCGTCTCCTTGCTACTGCCGCCAGTGACCCTTCTTTCAAGTCTGCTGCTGCGTCTGCCCTTGTTACTGAGCTCGTCGACTTTGCTGCTCGCTGTCGCCTAGACTACGCCGCGAGTCTTGTCGCTGAGTCTTAGTCTGTCTGTCCTCCGTCCATCGGGGGTGAGTGTGCCCTTGGCACGGACGTCCTTGAGGACAGGCAGGAGGAGTTCCAGTGTCAAGCCACTGCTTCACCTCATCTCGTGTCCGTATTACTTACCCCTAAGGGAGACCCGGAAGCACTTGACATCCCGACTCCGCGCTCTTACGCGGAGGCGATAGAGGGTCCCTACTCCTCTCAGTGGCAGGCAGCTATGGATGCAGAGATGGCTTCCTGGAAGTCCACAGGCACCTACGTTGACGTTGTCCCCCCTCCTGGGGCGAACATCGTCAGTGGCATGTGGATCTTCAGGGTGAAGCGGCCGCCGGGTTCTCCGCCTGTCTTCAAGGCGCGTTACGTGGCTCGTGGCTTCAGACAGCGGCAGGGAGTTGACTACTTTCAGGCCTTCTCCCCTACCCCGAAGATGACCACTCTTCGGGTACTGCTGCACGTTGCTGCTCACCGTGACTACGAGCTGCACTCTCTCAACTTCAGCACAGCTTTCTTGCAGGGCAGCCTGCACGAGGAGATCTGGCTGCGCCGCCCACCTGGCTTCACTGGGTCGTTCCCTCCTGGTACCCACTGGAGTCTCCGGCGTCCAGTCTACGGTCTCCGCCAGGCGCCACATGAGTGGCACGACACACTGAGGACTACACTGGCGGCACTTGGGTTTGCTCCTTCTACTGCCGACCCGTCGCTGTTTCTGCGCACCGACACCTCTCTGCCGCCGTTCTACATCCTCGTGTACGTCGACGACTTGGTCTTTGCCACAGCTGACACTGCTGGACTCGCCTACGTGAAGTCCGAGCTGCAGAAGAGACACACGTGCACTGACCTGGGTGAACTGCGCAGCTACCTTGGCTTGCGGATCACCCGGGACAGAGCACGCCGCACCATTACCCTGACTCAGTCACACATGGTGCAGCAGGTCCTTCAGCGCTTCGGCTTCACGTACTCCTCGCCTCAGGCCACTCCTCTGCCTACTCGCCACTCGCTCTCAGCTCTGCCTTCGGATGAGTCCGTAGAGTCGAGTGGCCCGTATCCAGAGCTTGTTGGCTGCCTCATGTACCTGATGACCTGCACACGACCTGACCTTCCATACCCTCTTAGCATTCTCGCACGCTATGTTGCTCCTGGGAGACACCGACCAGAGCACATGGCTGCAGCGAAGAGGGTGTTGCGCTACTTGTGCAGTACGTCGGGCATGGGGCTAGTGCTTGGAGGGCGGAGTCCAGTGGTCCTCACTGGGCACGCGGACGCCTCTTGGGCTGACGATCAGGCTACGCAGCGGTCGTCACAGGGTTACACTTTCAGTCTTGGTTCCGGCTCTGTTTCGTGGCGGGCTACCCGCTCGTCTTCTGTTCTCGGCTCCAGTTGTGAGGCTGAGATCTACGCCGGGGCTATGGCTGCCCAGGAGCTTCGCTGGCTCACCTTCCTGCTGATCGACCTTGGAGAGCCGCCTCGTTCTCCTCCAGTCCTGTACGTAGACAACAAGGCCATGCTGGCCTTGGGTCGAGAGCAGCGACTGGAGCACAGAACAAAGCACATTGCTCTCCGCTACTTTCTTGCTCGTGAGCTACAGCAGCGTGGACAGTTGCGGCTTGCGTACGTGGCCTCTGAGGCCAACACTGCTGATGTCTTCACCAAGGCACTTGCGCCTTGTGATCATCAGCGCTTCTGCACTCAGCTGGGTCTTGTGCCTGTCTTGCCTCACTTGCTCACTTCTTGACCTTGCTTGTACTGTCACATATATATACTCTTGCTCTTACTTGCTTAGCCTCTTATATATATATATGGGATCTTGCATGTGAACTGGCCTTCTGGCCTGTGAACTTGTGCTCGGAATGTGTGGTGACTTTGTGATCCACCCTGAGCTTTGCTTTGCTTTGCTTGACTGGTTTTGTGACCCCTTGTTTTCCCCCACTTTGCCTATGGGGGTGTGTCAGAACAGTATAGCTTATATATTTGTGTAGGCTATAGTGGGGTATCCCATAAGGGGTACAACCCAATCAGGGTTTCCTATATGCCCTCACTTCATTCATAGTTCATTCATTCTCGTTCTAGTTTCTTTCACACGTGGGTTGATTGCATTGTAATGTGTGTGGACTGTGAAATGAATATATAACAACTTTGAGTTTTTACACTTGAATCAGCCTACCAACATTCTTACCCTGCCTAAATCAGTGTTTGGAAATTTTTAGACTGCTGGTACTGTAAGCCCCCGGATAGAAGTGCAGGCCTCGGATAAGTGCAGGCGCTTATAAAAGGATGAGGGTGTTTTTATCCGGTTCTCGATTATAAGCGCACATTTGAAGGCTTGCGGATTATAAGCGCCACCCTTAGTTTGTTTATTTTATATTTTTACTGAAATCGTTGTAATGAAATGCAAGTTTCCATTCCCACATTTTGAATCTCAATACCCTTAACCCTCGCTCGGCTCATTGCCAGCGCGTCCAGTCAAAATGACGTGTCAGAGGCGCAAGTTGACTCATTCTGACTGTGTGTGTTAGCAGGGAATCATTCCTAGCCAACTTGCGTGAGATTCTCAATCACAATCTTGTATAGTTTCGACTCGATTCAAATTGCGAGAACGAGATATACAGTTTTGTGTAAGAAAGACGCGTTTCATATATCTCATTATATATGCGCCGGCGCTTATAAAAATCCTCAACCCCAAAAAACACTGTTTTTTTATAACCCAAGAGGAGCTTCTATCCGGAGGCTGGCTGGCGGTAACAGTGTTCAGATTTTTTTACCCTAACTGTCGGGGTACAGGGACCCTGCCACCCTGATTCGAAAGAGTGGACCAAAACCAGTTTTGGGTGCTCGTGGCAAAATGAAAGGGAGTTGCTGGTATTGTGAGATGGTTCTTGTGTCACAGCTTGTGACTCACAGGTAACCCAAAGGATACCGTAAAAGTCCTAGAATTGCAACCAAGATGGCTTGGTGCGGAGCAACAGGAAAAACAACGAGAACATGGTTGCAGATTCGTTTGACGCAAAGGCGGTGCTGAAGGTACATTTCTATGTGGACACTGTCCCAATCAATGTTTCCCAATCGAGTGTACCGCTCCGAACCGAACTAAACCAGAGACGCGAAAATTTCGAAACTAGGGTGCAATTTGGTGTAATACGATGCAATGCGGTAGAAACGATTGAGACACTTTCGATTGGGACATGTCCAGCGCGGAATGTACCCTGAGATGAGATGAAAAAAAGAGCTTGATACGAGCCAGCTCTTCCACGTTGGAGATGAAGGGGAGCAAGAAGACGGTTGTGCTTAGGATGAAGCGGAGCTGCACCTGAGCATATTTTTTATTGAGACCGTAGGGTGGTTGGTAGATCTATCCGAGGGATGACGATTTTTGTACGGTACTTTGCCTTATGTTTGGTACTAAGGGTACATTCCGCTGTGGACACATGTCCCAATCGATGTGTCCCAATCAGGCCCTACGAAGTCAGACTTTTTTCTCTGATTTGCACAAAAAACTTGTCAAAATATGGTTACATATTTTATATAATAGTTTGCAGTTGTAGTGTAGACATAGCATCATGTTTGGTGGTGCACCTCCTTGTGTTGTTGTTTGCCTAAATGTACTTGCCATTCTAGTGAAACATCATTCCTCTCGATATTTCTCCTAACTAAACTCACTCGAACCTCAACCACCAAGGCCCCTAAGCCCTGGCTCCTAAGCCCACCTCTTCCTAGTATTTTGACAAAACTCTGATATTTCAGATTTTTTTCCACTGTACTCTGTTAAAATCAGACTTTTTTGGGCCCAAACTCTGTAATTTTCAGACTTCTTTTAAGGCTAACTCTGAGAGTTCAGAGTTTTCTGAGAGTGTACTCTGATCATTCAGAGTACAAACACGTCATTGACTGGTGATTCGGACTTAGGGGTCACAACAGATTCGCAATGTCAACGCAAAATCGCCTTGACACAGCAAATCCGAGCCTTACAGCACAAGATTTTCGCCCAATCATAGCAAAATCGCCCTGACACAACAGATTTGCGCTGTCAGAGCACAACAATTTTCGACCAATCACAGAAAACTCGCCCTGACATTGCAGATTCGCTCTTTCGCACCACAAGATTCGCCCTGACACATATATTCGCCCTGTCAGAGCATGTTTTATCGGAAATCCCCTTAGTGTTGTGTGTTTCGGTAGCAGATGAATGAAACATTGATTACATTCCGATGAAACATTGATTACATTGTTTTTGAATGATCAGACTTTTTTTTTAGGACACTCTGAAATTTCAGCCTTTTTTTTTATACTAACTCTGAGATTTTCAGACTAAAATTGTGTACTAGTCTGACGAATCAGACAGGCCAAAAACGAATCTGAGGGCCTGGTCCCAATCGAGTGTACCGCTCCGAACCGAACCAAACCAGAGACGCGAAAATTTTGAAACTAGGGTGCAATTTGGTGTAATACGGTGCAGTGCGGTAGAAACGATTGGGACACATCGATTGGGACATGTGTCCCTGCGGAATGTACCCTAAGCATATCACACAGAGTAAACTATCCGTGTGATCCCTTTATCTAGGTGCAGACGGCAGAGGGACAGCGGCCTGTCCAGGCTTTCAGCACTCTCACACGGCACGCGCTGGCCCTCCTGTGCGCCATCAGGAGCGGCACCCGTGGGTGGCAGCAGTGTGAGTGTGACGTGTGGGACGCGCTCAAACATGAGCATCACATGCACCTCCCTGCGCGCCGTACCCCCCCATGCCACCTCCACCACCCGCCTGCCCCCACTCCCACCGCCTGCCCCGCCTTGCTGCTGCTCGCCTCTTCCCTCTTGCTGCTCTCTGCTCAAGTGCAGCACACCCACTTCAAGCCCCTGCAAAGCACCGTCTCCTGTCCCTAGCAGTCTCCTCGCTCTTCTCATTCTCACATCTCCCTCGTCCTTGCCCTCCCCTCCTACCCCAGCCCCTCCCCCCTCGTCCTCCTGCGCTACATCCATCTGAGGAAGATCCTCCACCGCCTCACCCTCGCCCCTCGCCACATCACCATCACCCCCTCCCTGCAGCCCCGCACCCCCCTCCGCCTCCACCTCTCCCTCCCCACTCCCCTCCCCACCCACACCCCCACCACTCTCGTCCGCCAAGCTGCCACCTGCACCTGCTGCGCTGCTCATCTTCCCACGACCGGCGCTAGCGCCGCCGCCGCCGCCGCTGCTGCTGCTGCTGCTACCGCTGCTGGCGGACTCGGCAGCGTGGCCCGGCAGTCCGTGAGCGGCAGGAGTGACGGTGCCCTCATAGCGGTGTGACACTCGCAGCAGCGCACACAGCTCTGTGCTGCCGGCCCCGCCCGGCCACAGCTGGATGGTACGATGGCTGATGGGGGGATACGGGGCAGGCGGGTGCAGGGACAAGGATGTATGGCATGACGCATGTAGGGACAAGGATGTATGGCATGACGCATGGAGGGACAAGGATGTATGGCATGACGCATGGAGGGACAAGGATGTATGGCATGACGCATGGAGGGACAAGGATGTATGGCATGACGCATGGAGGGACAAGGATGTATGGCATGACGCATGGAGGGACAAGGATGTATGGCATGACGCATGGAGGGACAAGGATGTATGGCATGACGCATGGAGGGACAAAGATGTATGGCATGTCAGAATGTGATGTTTGTTTAGCCTGCAGTGGGGTACTCTATAGCGAGTACAACCCAATTAGGGTTTCTTATATGTATCTCAACTGCTGCTAGTGAAAACCTATCTTTCCTGTTTCTCGATTCTGCCTAGTGTTTCGAAATGCTATCAGAGCAGGTCGACCCTCCTGGGTCGATCTTGTGGGTGGGCCCCACCCGATGCTTCCGCTGCTCTACTGCCAGTAGCGCGCCCCTAGCGCGCGCCGTTTTCTTCATGCCGTGCACTCGGAGCGTGCAGCGTTTTTTTCTTCCTGCCGCGCGCTCGGGGCGTGCGGCGGTTTTCTGCCCTGCCCGCCGCGCGCCCCGAGGCGCGCGGCAGTTTTCTGCCCCGTCGAACCGCGCGTCGCCCCGTGTCGACCGTCGCGTCGCCCCCCCGTCGCCCGACGCGGCCCGCACGACCTGCGTCAGACCCGCGCGCGGCCCGTACGGGCTGCGCCAGGCCCGCGCACGGCCCGGGCAGCCCGCGTGCGGTTCGTCCCGAGCTTCTGGCCGCGCCCCATCCCCGCTACTGCCCGCACTCCTGTGTTAGGGTTTAGGGGTGGAGAGTATGGGGGTGCCGGGTGTGTGAGCCGTCCCCTGCTCCTCCTCCTCCGTCTCCTACTGCTGCAGCTGCTGCTGAGGGAGGTGGATGTGTTGGAGCCGTCGGAGTGGTACGAGGGGGGGTGGCGTGTGAGCAGTGCTAGAGGTGCAGCAGGGAGTGTGTGAAAGGGGTGTGGGACAGTTAGGGGAAGTTGTGTGGAGGCAGTCGTCTTAACGTCCGCAGCGCCTGAAGTCTAGAGAGCCACGACCGCCTGTGGCCGTGTAGTGCGGGGCTCTGCGCCCGGTAGCCACAGTGTGAGCACTCCTGGTATTTAGAGAGCCACGACCTCCTGTGGCCGTGTAGTCCGGGGCTCTGCGCCCGATAGCCACAGTGTGAGCACTCCTAGGAGCACAGCGAGCCAGCTGCGCCTGTCGCCGTGTAGTCCGGGTTTAGCCTGGTAGCGACAGTGCTGCGCACTCCTGTTGCCCGTGTGTCTGCAGCTTCAGCCGTCGTCTCGCATCTTCTCGCCCCCACAGTTTCTCCTCCTCTTCACTTGCCCTCTGTGATAGCCTCTAGCTTTGCTTATCCTTGTGAACTATTGCTCTGCTTGCTTGTTGTGTTGATTATACCCCACTTTGACTATGGGGGTGTGTCAAAATGTGATGTTTGTCTAGCCTGCAGTGGGGTACTCTATAGCGAGAACAACCCAATTAGGGTTTCCTATATCTATCTCAACTGCTGCTAGTGAAAACCCCTCTTTCCTGTTTCTCGAATCTGCCTAGTGTTTCGAAATGGCATGACGCATGGAGGGACAAGGATGTAAGCAACACACCATGACCTGGATGCCTGTTCGTCACACCATGACTTGGATGCCTGTCCGTCACACCATGACCTGGATGCCTGTCCGTCACACCATGACCTGGATGCCTGTCCGTCACACCATGACCTGGATGCCTGTCCGTCACACCACGACCTGGATGCCTGTCCGTCACACCACGACCTGGATGCCTATACGTCAGATACCAAGTGCCCCTCACATGAGACCTGTGAGAACTAGTACGAGTCTGCGATAAACATCTACCCACAATGCAACACAGTAGCGAATGCACCTGACCTGGGCATGGGAGGGCGCACGTGGGCATGGGAGGGCGCACGTGGGCATGGGAGGGCGCACGTGGGCATGGGAGGGCGCACGTGGGCATGGGGGGGCGCACGTGGGCATGGGGGTGCGCACGTGGGCATGGGGGGGCGCACCTGGGCATGCAAGTGACGGAGGGGAGGATGTGAGCACCACAAGGCACGAGCGTGTCGGTGTGGTCGGGCAGCACCTCCATCACCGCGCCCTCCCTCACAAACACCGCCGCCTCCTCCAACGCCACCGCCACCCCCTCCACCTGCCCTCCGCTGTACCGCCGGCCCGAGAATAGATGGCGCCAGTGCGGCGTGGATGCTGGGAAGAATACCTGAGAGGGCCGTGGCATGCGGGCGTGGTAGGAGGGTGTGGCGTGAGGGTGTGGCGTGAGGGTGTGGCGTGAGGGTGTGGCGTGAGGGTGTGGTAGGAGGGTGTGGCGTGGGGTGCGGTGAGGAGTGGTGGGTATGCACACAGGGAACGGGGGGAGGGAGAGGCCAAGAGCATACAGGGATGCGTCAAGATGGAGAAGCAGCACAGGAGCTTGCATGCACTGGGTGCACTTGCATGTACTGAGTGCACTTGCATGCACTGAGTGCACTCGCATGCACTGAGTGCACTCGCATGCACTGGGTGCACTCGCATGCACTGAGTGCACTCGCATGCACTGAGTGCACTCGCATGCACTGGGTGCACTCGCATGCACTGAGTGCACTTGCATGCACTGGGTGCACTCGCATGCACTGAGTGCACTTGCATGCACTGAGTGCACTTGCATGCGCTGAGTGCACTTGCATGCGCTGAGTGCATCTACTTGGGCGGAGAAGCAAGAGATGAGGGCAGTGAGAGGGGCACCTGCACATGGTCGGTCTCATTGACGACGGGTGCCACCAGCAGGTCGCCCCCCAGCAGGTACTGCCCCTCCCACCGCCCGCGCTCCGCGGCCTCATCCCCCTGCGCACACAGCGCCATGGGGCACATCACGGGCCGCCCCTCCGTGCTTGCCAGCCGTGCAGCGCGCAGCAGGTAGGGCGCGAGGGCGGTGTGCAGGCGGGCGAAGCGGCGGTAGATGCGCAGCGTGAGTGCGTCGTAGTCCCACGGGCCGTTGTTGGCCTGCCCGAACTGATGCATCAACGGGGACAGCGCGCTGAGGGGGGGAGGGGGGGAGGGGGGAGAGGGAGGGGGGGGGAGGGGGGAGAGGGAGGGGGGGGGGAGGGCGGAGAGGGGAGATGGAAGGAGGAGGAGGAGAAAGGATGGGGGTGCAGAAATGAGGAAAGAAGAACACAAAACTTTGACTTTTGAGCGAATGCATGAAGAGGGAAAGCGCCCTGGTGGGTGGGGCGATGAGGGGCACAACAGGGTAAGCATGGGGAGGCCTTGTGGGGCAAACAGAGGAGGAGAGGAAGAGAAGAAAAGAAAGAGACAATGTCATGTTTGACGAGGTGAGTATGATGTGGTGCATGCATGGATGGACGTGTCATGGAAGACACCGATGATGAGAGGCACTGACAGCACGCGTGCATGCAGGTCCCCGTGGTGGTGGCACATCACAGCGATGCGCAGCAGCCTTGCATGGGCGGCTTGAGGCAGGCGGTTTGGGGTGTGCGGCTTGGAGCGGGCAATGGGAGGAGGCAGTGGGAGGAGGCAGTGGGAGGAGGCAATGGGAGGAGGCAATGGGAGGAGGCAATGGGAGGAGGCAATGGGAGGAGGCTGACCCGAACTGTGTCCAGCGGATGAAGACGTTGCGCGGGATGGCCTTGCCCAGATAGCCGGCGATGTCGCTGCCCCACAGGTAGAGCGCTGAGAGCGCCGCTGTCTGCCCCGCCACCACCACCGATGGCAGCCCGTCCGCGCGCGAGAAGGACGCCCTGTTGTCGCCCGCCCACACGAATGAGCTGCCCCAGGGGGAAGGGAGGAGGGCAGAGGGAGCAGAGAGGAGCGAGGAAGGAGCAAGGACAAGCCAGTGTACACCGGAAGGGAACAGGCTGTGCGGAAAAAAAGAATAGGTGAGGATAGGGGCGAGGAGGAGAGGGGACAGGACAGTGTATACTGGGCACATGAAGAGGAGTTGGAAAGGGCACGATGGGTGGGAATCGCGTGGTGGTGATGGAATCATCCAATAGTGTTGCAAGTAGCTGGCAATGTGGGAATCACCTGGCGGTGCCAGTGAAGGCAGAGCGGGCGAGCACAACGCCCTGGGTGGGCCCCACGCTGTCGTTGATGAAGCGCTGCATGCTGCCCAGGTACAGCTGCACGTACTGCCACGGCCACCACGGGGGGCGACGATGTGGGATCACATCTAAGGCTAGGTAAGGCAAGGTAGCGAGTGAAGGCATGGTGGGCTGGTTCAGGGGCACGTAGTGCCATAAGGAGGACAGCGCGCAGGGAAGGCGGCAAGGTAGCGAGTGAAGGCATGGTGGGCTGGTTCAGGGGCACGTAGTGCCATAAGGAGGACAGCGCGCAGGGAAGGCGGCAAGGTAGCGAGTGAAGGCACATGGAGATAAAGGGCGCACGTGGGAGGGTGGGCAGTGAGGGGCAGTTTGGAAGAGCAGAGGGTGGTGTGGCAGACGGATTGGCATCATGGAGGGGAGATGGAACGATGCATGTGTTTTACTGGACATGGTGTGACGTTAACAGCTACCAACCATGTGCGCACTCAACCATGTGCGCACTCAACCATGTGCGCACTCAACCATGTGCGCACTCACCAATGCAGCACACAGAGCTAACTTTGTTTGAAACACATGAGTGGCAGTGAATGTGAGTGGCAGTGAGTGTGAGTGGCAGTGAGTGGCAGCACGAGAGAAGGCGGTGAGGACAGAACTAGGTTAGACGGGCAGATGAAGGGGAGTGGAAACGATGCAGAGGATGTGACAGACATCACAACAGGTTGCAGGGACGCAAGCGAAGCAGGCAGCAGGTGGGCTCACTTTGTTGCGCATGAGGGGGAGCGGCGTGCCGTCATGGAACACGGCACCCGCCTCAAAGTACCCGCCCTCGCCGTCGTCCGCCTTCACCCCGCCAAACACCTCCTCCCACTGCAGCATGCGCCCCATCTGCCCGTGCCACCACCGCTCCGCCTCGGCGCTGCTGAAGTCCACGCGCGCCCCACGCCCCTTCCACCAGCGCACCACCTGCGGCTGCCCCGTGGCGTTGCGCACGAGCAAGGCGCGGCGTGCCGCCTCGTGGAAGTTGGGCGCGGCGGCGGCTGTGATGCCCGGCATGTCCACACGGTTCACCTCGTTCACAAACGGCGTCACCCAAAACACCACCCGGAAGCTGTGTGGGCAGAGGGGAGCGGGGAGAGGGGGGAGAAGGTATGATGGGAGGGGAGGGGGGAGGGGGGAGAGGGGAGAGGGGAGAGGGGAGAGGGGAGAGGGGAGAGGGGAGAGGGGAGAGGGGAGAAGGAAGAAGGAAGCTATTTTGTTTGATTCAACCACTCTTTGAGTTCACTTTTGGATCCCTCACCTGTATCGCGTTCCAGCAGGAACAGCAGCACGCACCCGAGGGCATGCAGCTTGGAGAAGAGCGTGTGGGGGTCGGTGAACTGGCGGCGGTTGATGGTGAAGTCGTTGTACGCCGTCTGCCACGGGCTGTCCATCAGTATCACCGACCCCGGTATGCCATGCTGCCGCAGCTTCTCCGCATCCTCCAATACCTGAAGGTGAGACGCTCATGCACGCCCCATGCCCTCCACATGCGATCCCCCATGCAATGTACGCCCATCCCCCATGCAATGTACGCCCATCCCCCATGCAATGCAAGAGACAGGAAAGACAAGAAGGCTGGCATGTGAGCCACTGGGATGCATCACACAACCTTCTCATGCATCACACAACCTTCTCATGCATCACACACACCATAACCCCTCTCACCCCTCTCCACCCTGTCCCTCAAATCTGCCAGCTATTCCCTGCCCGCTGCCCCCCGTGCTTCATGGGCCCCTGCCACACACACCCCTTCCCCCCCCCACTCCACCCGCCTTCCCCACCACCTTGTTGTTGCGTGCACGGTACATAGCTTCCGTTCCACGCACACACCTTTACACCCAAATGGTTGCACCCGTCTTGTAACCACATACACACGCCACACGCCCATACACACACACCCCACGCACGCCACACATCCCACACACCCCACGCATGCCACACATCCCACACACACCACGCACGCCACACATCCCACACACCCCACGCACGCCACACATCCCACACACCCCCCGCACGCCACACATCCCACACACCCCACACACGCCACACATCCCACACACCCCACGCACGCCACACATCCCACACACCCCACGCACGCCACACATCCCACACACCCCACGCACGCCACACATCCCACACACCCCACGCACGCCACACATCCCACACACCCCACGCACGCCACACATCCCACACACCCCACGCACGCCACACATCCCACACACCCCACGCACGCCACACATCCCACACACCCCACGCACGCCACACAGCCCACACACCCCACGCACGCCACACATCCCACACACCCCACGCACGCCACACATCCCACACACCCCACGCACGCCACACATCCCACACACCCCACGCACGCCACACATCCCACACACCCCACGCACGCCACACATCCCACACATCCCACGCACGCCACACATCCCACGCACGCCACACATCCCATGCACGCCACACATCCCACGCACGCCACACATCCCACGCACGCCACACATCCCACACACCCCACACATCCCACACACCCAACACATCCCACGCACCCCACACATCCCACACACCCCACGCCGCCACATACGCACCTCGTGGCTGCTGCGGTGCACGTCGCGGCCCTTCCAGGGCGCAAAGGCCCAGAGGGGCGGCGGGATGGGGCGCGAGGAGGAGAGGCGCGAGAAGAGCGCGAGCACGTCCAGCAGGCGCGGCCCCGCCATCACCACCACGCGCAGTGAGGTGAAGAGCGGGTAGCGCAGCACCTGGGGGGGCGCATGGAGAGACATGAGAGGCGAGAGGACACGTGCAGAGGTGCGGAGGTGGCAGCAAGTCAAGGGATGGGAGAGGCACAGGCAAGGGTGGTGTGGCATGCATGGCACATAGTGGGGAGTTGGGGGACTGTGGGGAGGTGGAGGGCACATCATGGAGAGAGGTGGAGGGCACATCATGGAGAGAGGTGGCGGACAGAGAGTGGGGAGGAGGAGGGGTGAGAGTATCACTATAGACAAAACGACCACAGAATTGGCCATAAACGGGAGGAAAGCATATTTGCTAACAGCCCACACAGCCAGCAAGCACTTGCACTTTGCTGCAGGATCGACCATGGAAGTTGGAACAAGCATGAACCATGCACCACCATGCGTGCACCATGCACCCCATGCAGCAGCATGCGCCACCATGCATGCACCAGGTGGTGGGGGTGGGAGGCGTGGTTGAGCAGGAAGGAGCCCTGCGCGTGCGAGTCCACCCACACGCCCCACCCCGACGTGCTCATCACGAATGGCACCGCCTTGTACGTGCGCTCCGCCTGGAGGACAGAGGCGTGGGGTGGGGGGACGAGGTGAGGTGAGGTGAGGCATGGCAGCAAGCTGTGCGGTGACGATAATGGACTCGATTGAGAGGCTGGAGAGGACGGGCCGCACGAGAGAGAGAAGTTCGCCCTGCCTCTTCAAGTCGGGGTCCCACCTGGTCCCACCTGGTCCCACCTGGTCCCACCTGGTCCCACCTGGTCCCACCTGGTCCCACCTGGTCCCACCTGGTCCCACCTGGCCCCACCTGGTCCCACCTGGTCCCACCTGGTCCCATCTGGTCCCACCTGGCCCCACCTGGTCCCACCTGGTCCCACCTGGCCCCACCTGGTCCCACCTGGCTCCCCCTGGCCCCACCTGGCCCCACCTGGTCCCACCTGGTCACACCTGGCCCCACCTGGTCCCACCTGGCTCCACCTGGCCCCACCTGGTTGCCTGAGGGCGTGTCTCGGCTGGCCATGGGCAGCACACTTCCCTTCTGGTTCACCGCGTTGAACCGCTCTCCACCACCGTACCACCCAACAGGGCTGTCCTGGATCTGCAAAGGGCAAGGTGAGGAGGGGCGGAATTGGCGGAAAGGCGAGTGACATGTGTGTGTGTGACAGCTGGGGGAGGGGCGGCGGCGGTCGGTGGGTGAGAGAAGAGGAATGTCGGATGTGAGATGGCATGGCATGAATTCAAGGCCCCCTCTCTCACCTGCACCCCTCTCTCACCTGCACCCCTCTCTCACCTTGAGCTCCAGGTGCAGCGGCGATTCAAAGGGGCGCTGTGCACGCCGTGCTGCTGCTGGCTGGCGCATGTTGGACGCATGCACGGGCAGGGGTGGTGGAATGCACGGGCAGGGGTGGTGGGCGAACGGGAGGGCAAGGGGGGAGGGAGAGGGGGGAGACCAAGTGTGACCATGTGGTGCGCGGACAGGGGCGTGGAGTGCACACAGGGGCGTGGAGTGCAGGCAGCGATCACAGCGCATGGGGGAAGGCCAGGGCAGGCAGCGCAAAGCAGCACATGGCAGCACATGGCAGCACATGGCAGCACATGGCAGCACATGGCAGCACACGGCAGCACACGGCAGCACATGGCAGCACACGGCAGCACATGGCAGCACACGGCAGCGCAAGGCAACACGTACGAGGTTGGGCGCCACGGTCCACGTGACAGCAATGGCACGTGCACTCAGCACCTCCGCGCTCACTCCCACCCGCACCTCCACCTCCTCGCCCCCTTTCCTCTCCCCATCGCTCTCCACCCTCTCCTCGGCAGCCCCACCGTCCCCTGCGCCCAGCAGGCAGGCACGGTGTGCAGCACACACACGGGGCCAGAGGGCGGAGGGATGAGGACACGCAGGAGAGGGGTGAGCGAACGTGTGTGGGCGAGAGGGGAATGACAAGGATGGAGAGGGAAGGAGTGGTGGGGTGGAAGGGAGAGGAGGCGAGGAGAGGGGAGGCGGAGGAAATAAATTCATGCACTACCAACCCTCACCTCTCCCTACCCCCGGTTGCCCCTCACCTCTGCCCACTCGCACGTGCCCCCGCCACATCACACCCTGCGTGCTGCCCTTCCCCACTCCCGTCCCACCACCAGCAGCAGCAGCAGCAGCGCCCTCCGCCTGGAAGGCTGACAGCGGGCGGCCCTGCAGCATGGGCGGCAGCAGCGGCAGCAGCAGGGGTGGCACGGCAGTGAGGCGGGTAGGCGGGTGGGCGGGCATGGCAATGCGGGAGGGGGAGAAGGCGAGCAGCAGGCGCGCGGAGGGGGCGTGCAGGCGCACTGCCATGCGCCGCGTGCCCGCCAGCACCACTGGGTGGCTCACGCTGCTGCCGTTGCCCCCCCCCTGCTGCCCCTCCCATGCGCCGCCGCCGCCGCCGCCGCTGCTGCTGGTGCTACCGCCCTCTGCTGCCCCATCCTCCTCACCCCTGTCTTCATCCTCCTCCTCTCCCCGTCCCTGCTGCCCCGCCTCCCCTCCCCGCTCTTCCTCTTCCGTCTCCACCGGTTCTTCCCCTCTCCCTTCCGCCTTAAACAACTTCCCGCTCCCCCCTCCACCCTGTCTCTCCCCCTGCCCCGCCTGCTGTTCCCTCCCGCCCTCCGCCCCTCTCTCCTCCGCGCCCCCCCTCCCCGCGCCCACCTCCGCGTCCTCCGCCACCTCCAGCGCGGACGACGCAGCGCCCTCGCGCTCGCCCTCCCCCTCCGCGCCCCCCTCCCCAGCGCCGTCCCCCTCCACGGCGCGCGTCTCGTCCAGCGCGCGCTGCACCACCTTCGCCTCGCGCCCGCCGCCCTTGAGGTCCACCAACGCGCGCTCCTCCAACTCGCCCTCCTCCTCCCACTTCCGCTCGCCCTCCTCCTCCGCCTCCCCCCCGAACTCCCCCAGCAGGTTCCCCCCGCCCTGCGCCTTCGCCTCCACCAGGTCCTTCAGCTTCACGCCCGCCGCCTGCGCCATGCCCGCCTTCGCCACGATGCGCCGCACGATATCCCCCCCCGCCAGCGCCGCCCCTCCGCCGCGCGCGCCTTCCGCGTCCGCCAGCGCGCCGTCCCCCGGCAGCAGGTCGCGGTCGCCGGGGCCCTCCAGGGATATCACGCTGCGGCTCTTCCGCCGAGCCACATCTTTAGGCTTGGGCCGCTCCACCACGAGCCCCCGAACCTGCAGCCTCCCTGCGCTCACCGCCGCCGGGTCCGCGTCGTGCGGGGGCTGGCGGCGGGGGGCGTGCGACCAATGGTAGCAGAGCCAGAGCGTGACTATAGCGAAGGCGCACGCCTGGATGACGTGCGCCGCGCGGATTCCGTAACCCGCCTTGTGCGCGCCGCCGTGCCAGCGGGCTCGCAGCGTGGCGCGCGCGGAATGGTGGTGCGATGAGGACATTGGAAGCGCGCTTCTACCGGCGCGAAACCCACGGGTGGTTTATCGCAAGGACGAGGTGGGCGGTCCGACTGCGGGAAGCGGGAGGGGGCGAAAACGAAGCATGTGTGATAGAAAAGAAAACGGTGCTCGCCCCACCATCTCAGCACACATGGTTGGTTTGAAGGGGGTGCGACATGGTGCGTTCGCGAAAGTCATGAATGATGCAGCAAATGAGTACATATGTGACGGGTGCAATAGAACGAGATAGCGAGGATTGCACTATGTGGGTCAAAGGTACAAAGTAAGAGCGAATGCATGAACGCACTTATGTGCGAAAACATGCAACGGTTATGCGGTGAGTGCGACCTAGCTAGTGCTAGGCTGGCATGGAGGTTCGGGCTAGTCCCAAAGCGTAGGCCCTCTTGGCCAGGCCAGCGGTGCATGGTTTGGTGAAACCGTGCGTCCGAAGTTGGGGAAGCCCCGTTAGTAGCAACGGGCGAACAACGGCTGCTGCTGTACGCGGTGTTGATTGTCGCGGTAAGAAATGTCAAAAAACTCCTTACACTACCTCCCCCCCCCAAAAAAAGCCCCCTCCGCTACGCGAGTGCGTGTATATCGCGGAACCCCCGGCTCCTCATGTACACTTGTATGGCAGGGTGGTTTTCAATACTGGCCAGGGGCAGCCAGCTATCCTCAGTTGGCGTGCGGTCCTTCCAGCGAACGAGGAACTCGATCCTCTTGATGCCTGTGGGGTGTCGAATCCGATGGCTCAAAATCTTCTCGCGCTCAACGATCGGCTCCGATGCAGGGCAAGTCATGGATGGCGGGCGGTGATGAGGCAGTTTGCTTGTGGTTGGGATGTAAGGGCGAACCCGATCAGCAGCAGCTGCTGCCCCCATGTTGTCGGGTCGTTGCACGTGGCACGAATTAGCTGCTCCATTGTTTGATTCGTCCGCTCTGTTTGACCGTAGGTCTCGGGGTGGTACGACGAGTTGAACTTTAGCCTGGTCCCGAACTGCTCCCAGAGTTCTTCCAGAAGTTGCAAGTAAGCTTCGTGTTGCGGTCCCTGATTATCGCGGTGTCAAACTTATATGCTATAGTCTGTGTAGGCTGTAGTGGGGTACAACACTTTTAGGTTTTCCTACTTGTACCCACCTTTTTCCTAGTGCATTTTATTCCTCCTTTCACATGGTATAGAGCAGGTTCCCTAGTGGGAACGTTTCCTAGGGCCCACCGAAAATCGATTTTTTTTCCTGCCCGGAGCGCGCTTCGCCCCTACCCGAGTCACAACCCGTGTGCCTGCCCTCCCGTCGCGTCCCCTGCCCTTAGCGGCCCGTCGCGCCCTCTTACAGCCCCGTAGCGGCCCCTCTCACGCCCCCCCCACGGCCCCTCTCACGGCCCTTTGCGCCGCGTCAGGCCCCTCGCGGCCCCTTTGCGGCCCCGTTGCCGCCCTTCGCGGCCCCGTCGCCGCCCTTCGCGGCCCCTCTCACGGCCCCTCGCGGCCCCTTCGCCGCTCCCTCTCGGCCCCTTGCGGCCCGTCGCCGCCCTTCGCGGCCCCTCTCACGGCCCCTCACAGCCCCTTCGCCGCTCCCTCGCGGCCCCTTGCGGCCCCTCGCCGCCCTTCGCGGCCCCTCTCACAGCCCCTCGCGGCCCCTTCGCCGCTCCCTCACGGCCCCTTGTGGCCCCTCGCGGCCTCTTTGTGGCCCCTCTCACAGCCCCTTTGTAGCTTCTCGCGGCCCCAACAACAGCAGCCGCCGCCGCCGCCGCTGCCCTGTCAGCCGCCGCCGCCCCTGCCCCGGCCGCAGCAGCCGTCGCCGCCGTCAGCAGCAGCCGCCGCCGCCGACAGCAGCGGCGGCCGCCGCCGCCAACAACAGCAGCCGCCGTCACCGCCGCTGCCGTGTCAGCCGCCGCCGCCGCTGCCGTGTCAGCCGCCGCCCCTGCCCACCGCGGCTCCCTGGCCCCTGGAGCAGCCGCCCCTGGCCCCTAGAGCAGCAGCCCCTGTAGTAGCCGCGGAGCCCTCGCCCTGCGGTGGTAGCGGCCTCGCCATTGCCGCTGTCCTATAGCTACCCTTCTTGCTACTGGTGAGCACTGCTGTTACTACTGTTACTGCTGCCCTTGCTGCTATTGCTCTTTCTACTGCTACTGCTGCTCCTGGCGTGGCCAGATGCAGCTCCAGTGCCGTCCGCGTGAGTTCCTCACGCCCCAACAGCTTCGTGAGTGGTACGCTACTTGGGGTTGTCGGGGTGGCCGTAGTGGGAGTCGTCCTGGAGTGAGTAGTTCAAGAGCTTCTTATAGTGGCTAGGTGCACCTGCAGCATCGTCCGTGCGCGGTCCTTTCGCCCCAGCGGCTTCGTGAGTGGTACGCTCAGAGTGGAGGGTCACGGAGTACTGCGCGCTGTCCGTACATCATTCGCACTGGTGCTCGGACTGGTCCCCCTTACGGGACGGTTGGTCACACAGAGTCCCGTTGCTTCGCCCGTTTGAGCGACGCCTGGCGTACGGAGTTTGGCGACGCGGCAGAGCTCCCCGAATGGGTGCAACTGCTCAGGTAGAGGGTAGCTATCTATATTCTTCACTATGATGCTATCCTCACTGCCATATATGCAATGCCTACTAGTGATGAGGGTGACTGTTACCTGTGTGTTCCGCCTCACCCGGGCATTGGGGCTACTCCTTTGGGTGCTGGTGAGGCAGCTGTTCTAAGAGCCAGTGCGTCTGCTACTCCAGGTGCTGGTGAGCCTGCTGCTCCAGGTGCTGGTGAGTCTGCTGCTCCAGGTACTGGTGAGTCTGCTGCCCCAAGTGCTAGTGAGTCTGCTCTGTCAGGCACCACGTCGGCTCAAGTGTTGCACACCTTCACCCTTGACTCGGGTGCTTCCCGCTCCTTCTTTCGAGACCCCACCAGACTCACGCTGCTTAGTCGACCGGTTGCAGTCTCCCTGGCAGACCCCTCTGAGGGTCCTCTCCTTGCCCACTTCTCCACTGCCTTACCGTGTCCAGCAGCCCCTTCCGGCACCCTGTCAGGTCTCTACCTCCCCTCGTTCTCTATGAACTTGGTGAGTGGTGCTGACCTACAGGATAGAGGGGTTGACTAGTTCACTCCTGCGAGTCAGCGAGTGACCCACTATACCTGTGCTCGGACGGGCCGACACTTGGCCGCGTTTACCCGTCAGCCGGGGTAGAGCCTGTACACAGTGATTCATGAGTCTCCTCCGGTTGCTGCGTCTGGTCAGGTAGCTGCATCGGGTCAGGTATTTGCTGCAGCGTCCAGGCCTGGTCCTGAGTCTGCCCCTTGCTCGTGTCGTCTCCTGTCCCACCAGAATCTCCTTTGGCACCACCGCCTTGGTCACCCCTCCCTGCCTCGTCTCCAAGGCATGGCCTCTCGTTTCCTTGTCTCTGGACTCCCCCGGTCCCTCCCTCCTCTTCCTTCGGGGCCTGCCCCTACCTGCGTTCCCTGCGTCGAGGGGCGGCAGCGCGCCGCTCCTCACTCCTGCGAGTTTCCTCCGACGGAGGATCCGCTGCAGACGCTTCACCTGGACGTGTGGGGCCCCACCCGCGTCCGTGGACAGGGTCATGAGCGTTACTTCCTGCTGGTGGTTGACGACTACTCGCGTTACACCACAGTCTTCCCTTTGCGCAGCAAGGGTGACGTCACTGAGGTGTTGATCGACTGGATCCGCGCAGCTCGTCTCCAGCTCCGCGAGAGTTTTGGCTCGGACTTTCTTGTTCTGCGTCTACACTCTAACAGAGGCAGAGAGTTTTCCTCAAACCTTCTGCGAGCCTTTTGTCGTGCGGAGGGCCTCCGCCAGACGTTCACGCTTCCGGCCTCTCCACAGCAAAATGGGATTGCTGAGCGCCGCATTGGCATGGTCATGAATGTCGCTCGTACATCCATGATCCATGCGGCTGCTCCCCATTTTCTATGGTCGTTCACGGTTTAGTATGCGGCGCATCAAATCAACCTTCAGCCCCGGGTCTCCATGCCTAAGACCTCCCCTACTCTGCGGTGGACGGGGAAGGTTGGCGATGCGTCTGCGTTTCGTGTCTGGGGATCTCGGGCTTTTGTCCGCGACTTATCTGCGGACAAGCTGTACCCCCGTGCTATTCCCAGCGTCTTCATTGGCTTCCCCCCTGACGCGCCTGGTTGGCAGTTTTACCACCCCACCTCGCGCCGTCTTCTGTCCTCCGAAGACGTCACGTTTGACGAGTCGGTCCCCTTCTACCGTCTCTTCCCCTACCGCACTGCCCCGCTCCCCCCTCCGCCGCTCTTCCTCACGCCAGGTGCTGTCTTGGTAGACCCCTTGCCTCCCTAGGGTCCTGCTCCCTCATGTGTTTCCCAGGTAGACCCAATCGAGCCTGTCTAGGTAGCTGTCGACTCTGTTCATGCGCGAGGTACCGCGCGTGCTGAGCCTGAGCGTGGTGAGCCTGGTGGTGCTGGGTCTAGGGGTACTCCGGAGGCTGGGGGTGCTGAGCTTGGGGGTGCGGAGCCTGCGGGTGCTGAGCATGGGGATGCAAAGACTGCAGGTGCTGAGCCTGGGGGTGCTGTCCCTGGGGGTGCTGCGTCTGGAGGTCCTGAGCCTAGGGGTGCTGCGCCTAGGGGCGCTCTCTCTTCCTAGCAGTTGCGTGAGTGGTACTCTCCGTACTGTCGGAGCCTCTGTAGTGCTGCAAGAGCTGGAGCTGAGGGGGCTGAGCCTACTGGAGTTGGTGATACTGCTGACCCCGGAGCCGGTGGTGGAGGTGCAGGAGCCACTGGTCCTAGAGGTGCTCGTACTGGCGGTACTGGAGCTGCTGGGACTGGGGGTGCTGCTGGAGCTCCTGGAGCTGGTCCTGCTCGACCTCCTGGTGCTGCTGGGGGTACTAGAGCTGCTGGGCCTAAGGGTGCTCCTGGTGCTGGAGCTGCTGGCGGTGCTAGCGGTACTGGAGGAGTACGTGCTGCTGGCGCTGGTACTTCTGAGGGTGCTGGAGTTGGCGCTGCTGGAGCTCGAGGTACTGCTGGCGCTGGTGCTGCCGCTGGGGGTACTGGTG